TAAATTAGGCACAAATTTTCTCTTCTTCAGTCAAGTGATTTAAGGGAACTACCTATGAGGCCACAAATGTGGGCTGGGAGAGAATAATGTAATAGTAATGGGAGCCATGTACACTTGGCTCCTCATGTAAGGCTGTTTCTCATGTAATTTACTTGTGCTTTCAAGGCCTGCTCATCTCAATACACTATTTCCATTTGACCATGGAGTGTGTTGTGTATACCCAACTTTACGGCTTTGTGGGTCAGACAACACCCAGTTCATGATGAGCAGCTCACATCACATGGTAACTTGGTGAGCTCATGTGTAAACATTCAGTCTCTACCAAGACCCAATAGCATATTAAATTTCTAAATAAGAGAGTAATTATCCACAAAGGATGACAATACTTTGCTCCAAAAATCATAAGTGTCGGTGCTGTGATTCATATATAGGGGCCTGCCAAAGGCTCCAAGGCACATCCCTATCTGCCATGAACTTTAAGCATCGTTGCATCTGCTGGATCATAAGCCCAGGTGGCAGAGCAGCTTGCATAGCACCCTGGATTTGATGCAGAACTGTTTACCGAGTGATCCAAAAAGTTGCTGAATTTGAATTGGATCACTCAGTAAACAGGACAGAATCACACACTCTGAGGATACGTCTCCTCCAAAATCCAAAGAAATCCATTAGGCATTGTGTCTCTTCTCTAATTGTAGAAGGGGCTAGATGCAACAACTTATCCTTCACTTTAGAAGGGACATCACATGCCCCAAAACACTGGACCGGTAGAAATTTCACTGAGGTGGTAGGCCCCTGGATTTTTGTCAGATTTTTTTCCTACCCTCTGACAGGCAAATGTCTTACTAATAAGTCTATAGTAGTTCTTAATTCTTGCACACAAGATCCAATGAGCATACTCTTATCAATGTGATGCGCCAGTGTGATGTCTTATGAAAGAAAAGGGCAATCAGAATCTATGTGAACTAAATTATCACACGAGGGTAGGAAGTTGATATATCGCTGAGGTAGGACAATGTTAACCCTATTACAGTTCTCGTACTGAATATGTCTCCTAGGTAACTTTTTAACATCCCATAACAGAAGCCTTTCCCAGTTCTTAATAATTATAGCTGACATTTACATAGCATTTATCCTGTGTCAGAAACTGTTCTAAACACTTGGCATATATTTATTCATTTATGTCTCATAACGACTTTTCATATCCCTACCTTGCAGATGAGTTTACAGAGGGGTTACGAGTTCTCCTGGATTACTTAATGTTTAATTCTGAGCAACAACATCAAAACAAAGACAAGATATGAAGGAGTAGGCAATACCAAGAGAAATTGCACACAAACTGCATCACTGAACTCAAATGGTTTTCATTCATTTCCTTCCACTCAAATTGCACACAAGAGAAACTGCATCACTGAACTCAAATGGTTTTCATTCATTTCCTTCCACACTCCAAACGACTGCAAGCAAGCAAGAAGAGACAGTGGGTGGAAGGCACGCACCACGTGTTCAGGCATTGACTAGTGTCTCTCACTGGATGGCTGCCACTTATTCCCAGCCAGTTGGTCTGGTGGTCTCTGTTCACAGAGGTCTTTGCTCCAATCTTCACCAGGGTAAGCGTTTCCCCATGGTCAGTATTTGGTGCTCCACAACCTGCAGGCATTAAATTCATCATGGTATGACGGACTTAATAAATCCAAGCTTCTCCCAGTGAACTTGGATTTAGGAAAGATTAATGAGAAGTATATGGATGAAATAATCATATCAAATCTAGTGAAATATGAAGACTGTGCAAGTTTATGACTGTGAAACTTACAAAGTGTGTCCATACAATCCCCTTGGGGAAAAGCAAACGTATCAATGCAGTCAGTCCAGAAGGAGAGGGCCCTTTGAGTTGGTGGCTCTTTTGCATCAACAATATGGCTATGTGCTCACACTTTTAAACCACTTGGACATGGTTTTTCTGAAAACAGTTTTCAAAATGATCAGATACTACACAATAATGATCCTCAACAATTATTCTTGGAGATATTAGGAACTGTATAAAATCTTAAATTTTCAAATGAGGAAACAAACCTGATTTTTCATTTCTTAAAATTCCCGTTATGTGTAAAATGGTGGGTATTTATTCCCAGTCACTATCTTTTTCATAAAGGAAGTTGTGAGGAGATGGCTATTAATAGTGGCTATGAGTTCCTATTGAAACTATGCCACATAAGAGAATGAAACTAACAGTCAAGGAGTACTTATAAAATACCTAGGTCTTTTAATCCTCATGCCATGCTACAATAAAGTCAGAATTTTGGAATGACAGAGCTGAAGTATATCTACCAAGATTAGCCAACTAGTAATCTTCAGAGATGTGATTCCAGCCCGGGTTTGTTTGACACCATACTTCGTTTTTTTCCACTAGGTTATTGTGCATTCTTCATGGAATTGTATTTAGCTATAAAATATTAAGTAATGATATCTGCCCTTTTGTGTTTAGAACTCAACATTAGGCCATAAAAACCTAAACCATATAAATACTTAATGTTAAGTACTTTTACTACTTTCTACTGGAGGGGAAAAAAGCAATTTCCAATTGATTGAATGCATTTTCAGACAGTTTACCAGTAGTTTTAGGCAATGCAGCCTTTTTATCTCTATGCAGCAGAAATTTTCTTATTTATTTTACACTGATAAACAGACATGAGAGATGCATTTTAAATTAAGGCGAGCATTACTACTTCTTGTGATCTATGAATAATTGGCCAAAAGGGGATCAAGATGAGATACTCCTTATTTCTCCCCAGATGAGTTACAAACATCTGAGGTATGTTGATTCACCTCCGCTCTTTAAAGCTACCTGTGCTGTGCACTAATTTAAGATCCAAAACAAGGAGAATGTGTGTTGTGGACAGATTTTAGTTGCGCTGATGGAGTTTTCCTATCCAGCCACACATTTGTCAATTTATGAACAATGACACACATTTATGAAAGATGAATAATGTTATAGTGATAATCTGTAAAGCCATATTAGATGACAGTAAATATTCCTGACCTTGTATTTAGATGGTAGTTCTAAATAAACTTACCTATTTATAAGGTAGGAATATAAACATCACATTTATTATATTAACTAGAGGCCTGGTGCATGAAAATTCATGCACTCGGGGGTGGGGGGTGGGGTCCCTCAGCCCAGCCTGTGCCCTCTCACAGTCTGGGACCCCTTGGGGGATGTCCTCCTGCTAGCTTAGGCCTGCTGCCTGGGGGATTGGGCCTAAGCCGTAAGTTGGACATTGTTAGCGCTACTGAGGAGGCGGCTTGTGGCTGAGCAGAGCTCCCCCTGTGGGAGTGCACTGACCACCAGGGGGCAGCCCCTGCATTGAGCATCTGCCCCCTGGTGGTGAGTGTGCATCATAGCAACGGGTCTTTCCCAGTTGTTCTGCTGTTAGGGTCAATTTGTATATTATCCTTTTATTATATATTATATTAATAACATGTGACACAATTTATCACCCATTTCAATATTCTTCAATGCTAAATTTCTGCTTGACCCATGTAAACCTTGCTTTTCCTTAACACACAGAAATCCCCATCTGTGCCTGTTCTATTGGAATAATGCTGTTTGTAAACTCCCACAATACCTAGTTTACTATTGAACAGGGGGCAGGAAATGGAGACCTCACTAAGATTATTCCATGCATCCTGCCTCTTTTGATGGCGGACAAAAATAGTAGGTATAGGCAGAAGAGAAAAAGTAGTTGCTGAAAATGACATCTGAAGAAGAGTGATGGATAGCAGTGAGGTTTTTATCTTAGTTTGGGAGAGGGAGGAGAGGTAAAAGGAGAGGACAGATTCAGTTAAAAAGAATTAAAAAGAAAGGAACATATCCACAATTATTTGAGTCGAGCTTAAGGTGAGAAATAAAAGTACAGAGATCACAGAAAAACTCATAACTTTAATAGTTAACATCTATTCAACCACGAAATTGATTTTGCAGAGAGGAACGGTAGACACCACATAGTTCAATAGCTTGCCCAGTTTACACAGCTAGTAAATGAGAGCTTGAATTCCAGTCGTGGAAATCAGAATCACTATTTTAAAAGGGAATATTAAGAAAGTACACAGCCTGGCCAGTGTAACTCAGTGGTTGAGCATCGAACTATGAACCAGATCAGGGTTGGGCCCTGGTCAAGGCACATGCCAGGGTTGTGGCCTCAATCCCCAGTGCGGGGCATGCAGGAGGCAGCCAATCAACTATTCTCTCTCATCATTTATATTTCTATCCTTCTCTTTCTTTCTCCCTTCCTCACTCTGAAATCAACAAAAAGGTATATATAAAAAAAATACTTCCCGGCAAGCATGGCTCAGCGGTTGAGCGTGGACACAGGGTCCAACAGATCACGGGTTCGATTCCCGGTCAGGGCACATGCCCTAGGTTGCAGGCTCCATCCCCAGCAGGGGTGCGTGCAGAAGGCAGCCAACGGATGATGATGGATGATGTTTCTCTCTCATCGGTTTCTGTCTCTCTATTCCTCTCTCTAAAAATCAATAAAAACATATATAATTTTAAAAAGTACACAGAGTGAGAAAACTTACAGAGAAAGGATATCGAGATCAAGGGGATAAACTGGGGAAGGAGAGAAGGGTAGGGAGAGAAGACTGGATTACCAATGGACTGATTATAGTTATGCTTTATTAACGGACACAACGCTTTGTACATATGTTAGCTTATTGAACCCCGCTAACAATTCTGTGAGGTAGCTAGTATTCCATTTTTCAAACGAGGCCCCTTGCTAGATGAAAAACACACATTTTCTTCTCGCACTGAGTTACACCTGAAGAGCAGGCTCTGGGCAAGATAAGGAAAACTAAAGGAGACTGGACCAGAGACGGAGCAGGGCAATGTGTAAGCCAGCTGAAAGCGAGAAATGCAGGAAAGTTTCCCATTTAGGTAGACACTGCTTGCAGCTTTCAAATCTCCCCGCCGGCCCGCCCAGGCGTCACAAAGCCCGCCTCCCAGCCACCAGACCACGCCCCCTTCCGCGGTCGTCATCCGAGCTCCCAATACTTCCCTACTTCTCCTTGACCCCGCCCACCCCGCCAAGCATCATTTCCTGTGCGCTGGATGCTGATTGGTCCGGAAGTCGGAAGTGAGGGCGGGCTGTGGGGCCGTTGCCGCAGTGACAGTGCTGGGGGAGTCCGAAGATGGCGGCGTCGCGTCGCTCTCAGCATCATCACCACCATCATCAACAGCAGCTCCAGCCCGCCCCAGGGGCTTCGGCGCCGCCGCCACCTCCTCCCCCACCACTC